ATAAAAAGGTCAAACAATTCAGGGGAGCTAGGAGTAAGGGGGGAGCACACCTAAAATACACATTGTTTAGTAAGATAGAAAAACCTTGACAATTTTCAAACATTTTCAAAATCATTATGAAAGATATTTCATTTACCATGTGTATTTGTTAAACATCAAAACGTGGGGAGAATGATGAGACAAGATTGTCTAGAGAGACTAGACCGTCTAGAATCTCTAGTTTTGAAGTTTAACAATAAGCATTAAACAATATATCTTTTCAGAAAGAGAATTGCCCACTTGACCTAAAGCATTAAAGGTTTTCAAAATGAAAACATAAGGTTTTACACGAGAGGCTACGCAAATCATCCAAGTGTTCCAAAATAAGAACATGTAAAACAATGTTTCCCTGAATTGTATATTGTCTAACATGTTGGTCACAGGAAGCTTTTGATCAATAAAAGAAGCCTATATGAATCTCTTATATCAATATGTTTAAGGATTTCTATTTATGTGAGAATTTCTTTTGTTGGAAAGAGTAGTCAAGCAAATTGTAACAAGGAAATTTTTTCTTACTTACTTTAATTGTGTCTTTTTCTTCTTTTTTTTATGTTACAATGAACTAAGCTATACTACATTATATTTTCAACATGTGCTGGATGATTCTAAAGATAAAAAAGTTACTATTTTTTCCAAAATCACAATTGTGAAGTTATAGAAAATTGATATCATCCTTTTTTTTCTTGTACCGAAGGTTAGTAATCCTTGATATTGTTGTCATTTAGAACAAAGAAAAATAAAGGTACAAACATAGTACTTGATATATAAATACTTTATATGAACATTTACGAAATATAAGAAAAGAAATATCTAACACTTTATTTACATAATTAAGTGTATCATTTTTAAATTGATGCAAAACTTAATTGTTTTTAATATTATTATAACTTAGGATAAGTGACAACTATTATTAATTATTTCTTACAAATTTGTTGTGGTTATTTTATGTTGATTGCAAAGGAAAAGAATACTTTGACAAATGAAAATATATTTAACGCTAAGTGTCCAAATTCTTATATTTTATATTCTAATAAATTTAATGATTGATATCATTTAGCTTACATTGTTTTTATACAGCTAGGTAAACTCATTTGAGGTTAATATGACTTCTCATGTTCATAGGAATAAACTAGCTACTACAATACATTTAATATATGTTATTTGTTTAACTACTAGTGAATTGTATTATATAAAATACTTTTCATTATTTATCTAACCATAAGTGTCAATGTAATGAAACACATACACAATTATATTTACAAATATTATTAATTTATGGAGGAATGTAATATAGAATTGACCCAAACAACTTAAATAACTAAATATGAGTTTTAATTTACATTGTTCAAATACAATTTTGAATATGTAGATTTTGAGTGATCTATCTTCATTGAAAAATGAAGTATTAAACATTCAAGAGTGATAAACATAAACTTTTGAAGAATGTTTTATAACTTGTAAATTTATGTAGTTTTATTTATTATAATAACTTGTATATTTGTTTATATTTGTATTAATATTAAGATTATGATATTTGTATACTTAAACATTTGTTTATTTACTTGAATACATTATTAACTTTTTAGTAAACTAAGCTAAAATGATAACATTCATAGAAATTTAAAAATCTTTATTTATGAATTGTGTTTGTAATATTTGCATGAAAATATATTAATATATAAAGAGAATAATAACTAAAACAAATCAGATATTAAAAAGATAAATTTTTTATGTCAATCAAGATTATAATTAACCAGGAAATTGGTTGTAGCTAAGATTTAATCATAGTAGAAATTGAGAAAAAATATATATTACAACATTTTGAGGTCTTTTATTGACCATTCTTTCAATTTACATGGTAAGGAAATTATTTTTGTCAAAAATTTAATTGATATGAAAAATTCACGCTTTCTATATAACTAACATAAAAAGGTACAACGTAACTAATATTATTAAAAATGCTTAATTATTTAATTAGTCCTCAAATTCAATAGTTAGTGTCTAGTTGGTACCGACTTTTAAAAACACCCTCAATTGCCTCTTCATGTGATATAATTGCACAAATCAAGTTTCTCCTTTTAAATATGCAGAAAGGAAGTTAATTTTGTGGTAATGTAGCAATGAAAATCATATTTTCATATTATGAATAAACAATGCAAACAAATATAATTACACCAAGTTCACCACTAACACAAACTTTTGACAAAAGTAGGTTATTACTTGTGGCTTTTGACTCCTGCACCACCACGACATGCTTCTTGTACCTCCTCAAATTCTTCTATTTTCAAAATTATCCTTAGCTACAAGTAAGTAGAAAAAGATTGAGTTGATATGGGGTGGGGTGCAGCTGATGCGTTTAGAGAATATGAATAAGGTAAAATTAGAGTTTGGGAAATAAATTAAAAATTCTTGGTAGAAGTAAAAAAGTTTTAACCTTTAACCTAAGGATAGTTTTGAAAATAAAAGAATTTGAGGAGGTGCATGGAGCATGATGACGTGGTGGTGAAGGGAGCAACGCTCTTGACCCTAACCCCTTATAAAATTAAGCTCCATTTTTTTAACTCACTTAATAGGATTTTTTTTAAAGTCTCAACTCCCAAAGTCCCACATAAAGTGGATTGGGGTAGGGTTAGAATGGGACTAGCCCCAAACTAAATTAATTTTTTTTTAATACATTTCTATTTTTTTTTCTTTTATATGTTCCAGGTTCAATAATTTCCAAATTTTGCATGATATTTTACTAATATTCTTTTTAATTAAATACAAATATATAAATATTGATTTTATAAAAAATTATTCAAAATAAAATTTTAATTGTAATTATATTTTAAATATATAATTTCATTATTTTGAAAAGTTAAAAATATAATATATATTGAGTTTGTTTAAGTTTAAGTGAAGTAATTTTTTACTTATATCATTTTTCTTTCAATATAAATATATAAATGTTAGTGTTATAAAAAGTTATCTTAAATGATTTTTTAATTGTAATTATATCTTAGATATATAATTTTATTATTTTTGCTTGTATAAAAAACATCGTTAGTAAAGTTATTCAGAAAATTTCAATAAAACTGTTGCTATCAAATCTAAAAGTGTAGTTTTCTTTTTTCCTCTAAAGTTTTCCATATAATTTAAGCAATGTGTTTGTTTATTTTTTAAGGAGTGGAAATTGAATTTTTTATTTTTATTTTGTAAGAGTGGCAATTGAATAATGCTTGAAAAAACTAAAAATACTTTGATTTTAAAAAATACTTATCTTCTTTACCTAAATAATACTTATATAATATTTAAAATAATAATGAAATCATTCAAAAGTTTATTGTAAAAAAAATCTAAACAAACTCGTGTTTAGTAAATGAATATAAAACAAAACAAATGTTTATTACATGTTAACTTAATTGAAAACTAATAGACTTATTTTAGTGTGTCTGAAAATTGTTTTAAAGTTTAATTCTACTACACTTATACGATATTCATATTTATTAAAACATGGTAATAAATTTGTATTGATTGAGAAAACTTATAAATTTTTATTTAATATAAATTATGGAAAACCTTAATAATTTATTAGTTATTGATTACTAATTGTAAAAGTAACAAATAATTTTCATTTTAATTATAAAGACATTAGGAAAATCTAAATTTTCTAGTAGTGTCTCACGTAGTATTTGAGGATATCATATTCAAACAAATATAAAATAACCTAAATTTTTAATTATGATACAAGTAAATAGTGTGAATTTTTAACATGAATAAGGTTGTATTGACTATTAATCGGATAATTAAGGTAAGTTTGAATTTGAATAACATTTAAAATTATCTATTTAATATGAATCATATAAAAAAATCTTTAATTAGTAATTGATCACCAACTATAAAATTTTAATAAATATTTTTGACGATATCAAAATCCAAATTTTATAATTGTGACTTAAGTAATATTTAACTTCACATCTAGGTTGAGACAAACTTATAAATGTAAAACCTAATTATTTAATTTTGATACAAACTAAGATATAAACTTTTTTAACATGAGTAAGATTTTATTGAGTCTTGACAAGATAACATATAAAATTATCTATTTAATGTATATTATGAAAGTAGTAAATAATTTTCATTTTAATCATAAAAATATTATGAAAATCAAAATTTTATAGTAGTGTGTGACATGGTATCTAACGTTAGGTCTGACGTAATATCTAGCATCACGTCTAACATCAGATTCAAACAAATGTAAAATAACCTAAATTTTTAATCATGATACAAGTAAAGATTGAGAATTTTTAACATGAATCAGGTTTGATTGAGTATTAATGGATAAATCAGGGGAGTTTGAATTTGGATAACATTTAAAATTATCTATTTAATGTAAATTATGTAAAATGTAATCTTTAATTAGTCATTGGTTATCCATATAATAAATATTTTTCACCATATCAAAATCCAATTTTTATAATCATGACTTAAGTAATATTTAACATCACTTCTAATCTTAGATTCAGACCTAATATTAGATTAAGACAAACTTATAAATATAAAACTTAATTATTTAATTATGATACAAATTAAGATATACACTTTTTTAACATGAATAAGATTCAATTTAGTCTTAACCAGATAACCTATAAAATTATTTATTTAGTGTAAATTATGAAAAACCATAATAATTTATTACTCATTACTTACCAACTATAAAAGTAATACATAACTGTTAATTGATCATAAAGACATTATAATTTCATAACAGTGTCTGACATGATATCTGACGTCACGTCTGACATAACATCTGACGTCAGATTCAGACATATAAAATAATCTAAAATTTTAACCTAAAATGGAGAACTTTTAGCATGAGTCGGGTCAGATTGAATGTTAATCGGATGTCCGTAAAATTATCTATTTATTTAATTTTTTGTGTGAGAAATTGAAAAATTACATCTTTCTCTCTCATCTTTCTTTGTGTGAAACCCTAAGAGAGAGAATATTGAGAAATACAAAAGATGACGGGGGAAGAGGCTAAAAAGGGAAAAACATTTGGCTTATGGTGTGAGCCTGTGGTGGGATCGTTGGCTCCGGCCAAAAAGAAAGAATACAGAATCACCAATCGCCTCGAAGAGGGGAAACGCCCTATATACGCTGTCGTTTTCAACTTCCTTGACTCTCGTTACTTCAATGTTTTCGTCACTGTTGGTGGCAACAGAGTACACCCTCTATTTTTTTTTTCTCCACTGTCCTTTTTCATTTCATTCCAGAAGTTTCAATTTTTAATGTTTTTTTCCCCTTCTTAGATTACTGTTTATCAATGCCTTGAAGGAGGGGTTATAGCTGTTTTGCAGTCTTATGTGGACGAGGATGTAAGTGAACATTGACTCTTCAGTCTCTATTTTCTCTAACTTTGTTTTTTTGTATATGTATGTGTTCTAAAGTTTGTTTCACTTTTTATGTTTTTATGTGGACCAGAAGGATGAGGCTTTTTACACTGTGGGTTGGACATGCAGTGATGATGGGAGTCCATATATTGTGGCTGGTGGAAGCAAGGGGATAATCCGAATCATTGATGCTGGCCGTGAGAGCATATACAGGGTATTTTGGTTACAGTAATGAACTCGTGATAATCTGCATGAAGCTTTTGAACATGTGATTATAGATTTTTTATATTTCGGTGGCGTTTGTAAGAGATTATATGGAGCTTATGTCGGTTTATTTTATATAAAAGCATTTCAAGGTGGTCTTTGATTAATGGTAGCTCTGTTTACTTTTAATTTTTATGGTTAAGTACTTTTTCTGAATTTTGTTTTCGTAGAAAAAAATATTGGTGTCCTTGTTGGAGTTTGGTTTGAGCTTATTAAAGTGGTTCATGTCTTCACTATTCATTCTTCTTCGCTTATTTTAAGAAGCTTAACCGAAAAGTGATTCACAGTTAACTTCATGGATAAGCTTTTTATTGTTGAACCAGTGCTTAAGTTCTTACTGAATCAAAGCTTAATAAGTTATTCACTCATATGTGCCTGCCCTTAGTGTTGATTGTTAGTTGGGATTTTTGAGAGCATTACTGCAGGCTAAATGCCTTTGAATGTATTTTTTTTGTCAATAATGTTGAAAATGTATTGGTTGTGCTCTAATCCCTTCTGCCACATAACATGACATCTCCTCTCTGCAGAGTTTTATTGGCCATGGGAATTCTATAAATGAAGTCAGAACCCAAACATTAAAACCATCACTTGTGATATCTGCAAGCAAAGTAATTGGCTTCTCCACATTTTAACTATTTAAAGAATCTTTTGTTTCTCATTAATGACATTTAATGTTGATCAGGATGAATCTCTTCGGTTGTGGAATACTCAAACTGGAATATGTATCCTGATATTTTCAGGAGCTGGAGGACACCGCAATGAAATCCTAAGTGTTGTAAGTCTACTCTCCATCCAGTGTATCTTGTCCTTTTTCTTGTTTACATGCCTACCTATTCGTAGCTATAATATATATAATATCTGGATTTTGGAGATTAGCCCAACTAATTTTATGTTTCTTTCTGTAGGACTTTCATCCTTCGGATATATATCGTATTTGTAGTTGTGGCATGGATAATACCGTAAAAATATGGTCTATAAAGGGTAAGATATTTTGTTTTATGGTAGCTTCTTTATGCTACCTGACTAAAGATTGGCAGAGTGAAACAAAACTGAAGTAATGGTTGATTGATATTTAGATTGTTAAGAGAGCAGAGTGAAAAAAATCAGCTCTTTCGTCAGTTATAACGAAAATGAAGAAATAAGATAAAATTGATACTTTTTCCACTAGGTGGAGTTGACTACACGGCACGGATTAAATGTCACCATTGTGTCAATATTTTTAGGAAAGCTATTGAGGGTTCCTTGATCTTCCATGTCCTCTGTTTATACATCTATCCTTCTTACATATAATCAATTATTCTTAATGGATTTGATATACATTTTTTATTGTATCTCTGATATTTGTTTCATAACAAAATATGCTGCAAGTAGCAATTATTTTTGTAATTTGTAAAAATTTCTTGTGCGGAACATTACACCTGTTTCTGTTTACACATTCAGTCAATTGTAATGTACCAACTCTATAATTATCCGCTTCATTTTATTCCATCATGTTCCTTGCGTTTATGCAGATTTCTTGACATATGTAGAAAAATCATTCACATGGACAGATCTTCCTTCAAAGTTCCCAACAAAATTTGTCCAACGTCCTGTTAGTAACAATTTATTTTTGGTACATATCGTTGATCTTAGTATAATTCCTAATTCTAGTGATACCTATTCTCAGGTATACACTGCTTCGGTTCATGTAAATTATGTTGACTGTACTAGGTGGTTGGGTGATTTTATCCTTTCAAAGGTGAGTGATTGCTCAGTGTCAGACTACTCTTCCTGGTTGAATTTAAATGTTATTTTTGTTGTGGAAATAGTATTATCAGCTTCACGTATCTTATGTAAAACAGCTGTTTCTGATACTATTTTATTAAAACAACAAATTAATTTTTGAAAATTTTTATGGTAAAACTTTGGTGTAAGTTTGTATGGTATAAATATTAACGACTTTCTTTGGTAGACAAGCTGAGGTAGCTTTACTGAATTTGATGTTTCTACACTTATCCTTGATGCTCATTTTAAGTGGGAAATATGTTTCAGTGAAGTTTCTTTGTCTAAAAAAGTTTAATAATTGGGAGACGAGAAGTTAGGAAGGTTTTTGGGCAAGTCCTCATTTTGGGCACTCCTCAATGAATCATAGTATCGAGTTTTCAACGAGTTTTCCTCCTATTGATATAGTTAATTTGCCAATTCCTTGAGTAATGGATCATTTTACGTTTCCAGAGTGTTGATGATGAAATTATGTTGTGGGAACCTATAGTGAAGGAAGAAATTACAGGAACGGTTAGTTATAATTATTTATTATTATTATTATCTGTTTTCATTTGTTTTTATGATATGTAAGTTTTAATCAGCTTCATATTATTTTTTGTGCTTTGTTTGGATTTTTAGGGTGCAGTTGATGTCCTTCAGAAATACCCCATTCCTGTATGTGATATCTGGTTCATCAAGTTTTCATGTGATTTCCATTTCAACATAGCTACAGTAGGTAAGAATGATTGCTTATTTTTTAAAATTTATTATTTTCTCTAGTATCTACTGCAGTTCCAGTCATATAGTGTGATAGGAACTATGGATAATTGGACAATTTGTTGAATACATATTTCTGACAATTTGGACTGGTGCTTTTTTATGGCAAGTCTGAGGAAATTTTAAGATTTTACTTTTGTTTTATGTTCATTTTTTATTTTCTGGGTCTTTCAGGTAACAGGGAAGGCAAGATTTATGTTTGGGAATTGCAGTCATGTCCTCCTGTACTTGCTACAAAGTATGTTGTCTATCAACTGATTATTTCAAGAACAAAACTTAGAGAAAGTTCTATTGATGGTTTGTGTAGTTTTCAATCAGAATTTAAGTTTCATCTCCACAATCTGCAAATAAATATTTGCCTTAAAAAGATTATGCAAATTTCTGAGATGAACTCCAATTCTGATTGTAAAAACCAGTTCAAACAAGACTTTAAAAAATTTGACCTAAGTTTTATAGTTATTTCAATTCAAAGGTCTTCTACTGTATAAAGTTCTTATGCTTAGTCACCTTGTTCAGGTTGTCACATCCTCAATCAATCTCTCCGATCAGGCAGACTGCTACTTCCTTTGATGGAAGGTAATGCTTGATATATTGATGATCATTCTCATATTTTTGATGCAATATTCTTGTAGTTTTTAACTATAGTCTTCTGTTGTTTATGTTTTAGTACTATATTGAGTTGCTGTGAGGATGGGACAATATGGCGCTGGGATGATGTTTCAAACTCTTCAACCTAACTTGCATACATGCAATACCAATCTGACGTGCTTGTCAAAAAATCAGGAACTTGGTTTATTGCGTGTTTCTTTGTCTGTTTGGTTATTTTGGTTCGATAATCCTTATAATGTAAAAGGTTCAACTGAGAACTCATTAGAACTTTGACGTTGTTTAAATAAAATTGAGCCATGCATGTTTCCGGTTTATACAATTTAGAGTTCTTCAGTTCGAATGGTTCTTTCCCCTTTAATATATTATTTAATTGAAAATATTTTCGAAATGAATTAGGGTTTTGCGTGTGAAGCTTGTAATTATCTTCTATGGTGCGAGATGATTTGTTAAGGGTGTTTGAGTTAAATTCTTTAGTAGCGTAGATCTTAAGCGTTGGTTCTATATATGTGGTCAATGTTTTCTACATTCGAAATATGCAGTGAGTAGTTGGTCAATCGTTTTCTCTGTTTTTCAGATTAAGTTATCTTTTTAGAATGGAAATCAGAGAAGTGTATATTGACGTATTTGTTGCGATATTTTCCGATTTTCCATAAAAGTAGTAACATTATGTTGTATTATTTTTTAAGTGTTTTTATTCCCATGTTAAAGGGTGTTAAGGTTGTTTTTTCATCGGACGTGAAAAATCATATTCTGATCTCATTTGAAGTTTTTACTTTTTTTCATTTTTAAAATATT